TTCACTAAAGAACCCAAAGTTTCTTCATTAATGTAAGAAACATTACAGGAAGTGCAACTTAGAGAGTGATTGTCTCTCTGAATGGAAACAGGGATGGAAAGAAACGCAACTAAAACTCAAAGACACGTTTCTAAAAAGTTATAATAATAGAAGATAATAATCGGTTTGTATCGATGCAGGTAGTTTTATACGATGCATCTCGAGTTTATGTGCGGTTTTTACCGATGCAGACGTTTGCAAATCGATGCAACCGTATCGCACAGGTCGTTCCGATGTTCCGATACGCATCGGTGAATCTTGCCATGCCTAATATATACACAGGTAAAAGCCAGTAAATTTGAATATTTTGAAAAACTTGATTTATTTCAGTAATTGCATTCAAAAGGTGTAATTTGTACATTATATTTATTCATTGCACACAGACTGATGCATTCAAATGTTTATTTCATTTAAGTTTGATGATTTGAAGTGGCAACAAATGAAAATCCCAAATTCCGTGTGTCACAAAATTAGAATATTACTTAAGGCTAATACAAAAAAGGGATTTTTTAGAAATGTTGGCCAACTGAAAAGTATGAAAATGAAAAATATGAGCATGTACAATACTCAATACTTGGTTGGAGCTCCTTTTGCCTCAATTACTGCATTAATGCGGCGAGGCATGGAGTCGATGAGTTTCTGGCACTGCTCAGGTGTTATGAGAGCCCAGGTTGCTCTGATAGTGGCCTTCTACTCTTCTGCGTTTTTGGGTCTGGCATTCTGCATCTTCCTTTTCACAATACCCCACAGATTTTCTATGGGGGCTAACGTCAGGGGAGTTGGCTTGCCAATTTAGAACAGAAATACCATGGTCCGTAAACCAGGCACGGGTAGATTTTTTGTGTGCAGGCGCCAAGTCCTGTTGGAACCTGAAATCTCCATCTCCATAGAGCAGGTCAGCAGCAGGAAGCATGAAGTGCTCTAAAACTTGCTGGTAGACGGCTGCGTTGACCCTGGATCTCAAGAAACAGAGTGGACCGACACCAGCAGATGACATGGCACCCCAAACCATCACTGATGGTGGAAACTTTACACTAGACTTCAGGCAACGTGGATCCTGTTATGTGCCTCTCCTGTTTTCCTCCAGACTCTGGGACCTCGATTTCCAAAGGAAATGCAAAATTTGCTTTCGTCAGAAAACATGACTTTGGACCACTCAGCAGCAGTCCAGCTCTTTTTTTCCTTAGCCCAGGGGAGATGCTTTTTGCGCTGTTTCTTGGTCAACAGTGGCTTGACACGAGGTATGCGGCAGTTTAAACCCATGTCTTTCAAGCGTCTCTTGGTGGTGGATCTTGAAGCACTGACTCCAGCAGCTGTCCACTCCTTGTGAATCTCGCCCACATTTTTGAATGGTTTTTTTTTCACAATCTTGACTAGGGCGCGGTGATCCCTATCGCTTGTACACTTTTTCTGACCACAGTTTTTCTTTCCCTTTGCCTCTCTATTAATGTGTTTGGACACAGAGCTCTGAGTACAGCCAGCCTCTTCAGCAATAACCTTTTGTGTCTTTCCCTCCTTGTGCAATGTGTCGATGGTCGCCTTTTGGACAGCTGTCAAATCTGAAGTCTTCCCCATGTTTGTGTAGGCTTCAGAACTGGACTGAGAGACCATTTAAATCCCTTTGCAGGTGTTTTGAGTTAATCTGCTGATCAGTTTGTGGCACCAGGTGTCTTCAAAATTGAACCCTTACACAATATTCTAATTTTGTGACACAGAATTTTGGATTATCATTTGTTGCCACTTCAAATCATCAAAATTAAATGATATAAACATTTGAATGCATCAGTCTGTGTGCAATGAATAAATATATTGTACAAGTTACACCTTTTGAATGCAATTACTGAAATAAATCAAGTTTTTCAAAATATTCTAATTTACTGGCTTTTAGCACCTGAACATCCCTTTCAGACAGCTTCCTCTTGCGTCCACCGTTAATCCTGTTGGATGTGGTTCGTCCTTCTTGGTGGTATGCTGACATTACCCTGGATACCGTGGCTCTTGATACATCACAAAGACTTGCTGTCTTGGTCACAGATGCGCCAGCAAGACGTGCACCAACAATTGGTCCTCTTTTGAACTCTGGTATGTCACCCATAATGTTGTGTGCATGGCAATATTTTGAGCAAAACTGTGCTCTTACCCTGCTAATTGGACCTTCACAGTCTGCTCTTATTGATTCAATGTGCAATTAATGAAGATTGGCCACCAGGCTGGTCCAATTTAGCCATGAAACCTCCCACACTAAACTGAGAGGTGTTTCAGTTTCATTGTCCAACCCCTGTATATATATATATATATATATATATATATATATATA